AAGGGTTAATTCACCCAAAAATGAAAATTAGCCCATAAATTACTCACCCTCAAGTCATCTTAGGTGTATATGACTTTCTTCTTTCAGACGAATCCAGTCGGAGCTATATTTAAATGGTCTTTGATCTTTCAAGCTGTTTAATGCCACTCAGCGGGTGTTGCATGCATCAGTCCAAAAGAAGTTAAATAAAAAGCACCCATCCGTTAAAAATAAGTGTCTCACACGGCTCCGGGGGGCGAACAAAGGCCTCCTGTAGCAAATCAATGCGTTTTTGTAAGAAAAATATCCATATTCAAAACGTAATAATCACTTTAATCTAGCTTGTGCCAACAGTTGTACACAGAAGCAGCTCCGGGCGGATGACGTATGAGGTCGGCGTTGCGCATGCGCCTGTGAGTCTCGTGAAAACCAACGTTTGTTTAGGAACAAAGGAAGCAAAGTTTCCTTACTTTAGCAAAGGAAAACCAGTCTCCGTTTTTGTAAGAAAAATATCCATATTCAAAACGTAATAATCACTTTAATGTAGCTTGCGCCAACAATTGTACACGGAAGCTGCTCCGGGCGGATGACGTATGAGTTCAGCGCTCGGAGCCGTGTGAGACACTTTTTTTTATGGATGGGCGCTTTTTATTTAACTTCTTTTGGACTGAGGCATGCAACACCCGCTGAGTGGCATTAAACAACTTGAAAGATCAAAGACAATTTTTTGTATAATTCCGACTGGCCTCGTCTGAAAGAAGAAAGTCATACACACCTAGGATGACTTGAGGGTGAGTAATTTATGGGCTAATTTTCATTTTTGGGTGAACTAACCCTTTAAGATGGTAGCTGGGTTTTGGAACTGGATAGCTATTAGATGGTTTTTAGCAAACCAGGTAGTCATAATAGATCAAGATGCATTTTTGCAACATAGTAGCTGGTCAAACAACTAATGACCATCTAGCTAAGGACCAGCTAGTGACCATCTTCAGTCCAGCTAGTTAGTCATCTTGGGCCAGCTAATAACCAGTTTGGACCAGGTAATGACCATTCTGGAAAAGTCATGGTCAGCTTGGTTGAGCTAGTGACCATCTACGGCAAGCTAATGACCACCCTGGAACAGCTAGGACCAGCTTGGTCAATCTAGTAACTGTTTGGACTAACTTGGTCCAGCTAGTGACCATCTTGGACCAGCTAACAACCAGTTTGGACCAACTAATAACCATTCTGGAAATGCCATGGTCAGCTTGGTCCAGCTAGAGACCAACTTGGAGCAGCTAATAACCAGCTTGGACCAGCTAATTGCTATTCTGGAACAGCTATGGTCAGCTTGGACCAACTACTGAATATCCTGGAACAGCTGTGACCAGCTTGGTCAATCTAGTAACTGTTTGGTCTAACTTGGTCCAGCTAGTGTCCATCTTGGACCAACTATGACCAGCTTCAGTCAACTAGTGACCAACCTAGACCAGCTAGTTACCATCCTGGATTAGGTAATAACCAGCTTGTACCAGTTTATGGCCATTTTGGACTAGTTTATGACTAGTTAATGGTTTGGATCAGCTAATAAACAGCCAGATGGAACTTCCATGCTCCAAAACAAGTACCAGTTTCAGCCGGATTTCCCAACAGGGAATAACATGTTTATTTAGTTTCATATTATTTATTATATTATATAATTATTGTTTTTATGTCATATTAACCTTGGGCCATCTAATAACCAGTTTGGACCAGCTAATGACCATTCTGGAAAAGTCATGGTCAGCTTGGTCCAGCTAGTAATGATCTAGGGCAAGCTAATGACCACCCTGGAACAGCTAGGACCAGCGTGGTCAATCTAGTAACTGTTTGGACTAACTTGGTCCCGCTAGTGACCATCTTGGACCAGCTATGACCAGCTTCAGCCAACTAGTGACCAACTTAGACCAGCTAGTGACCATCTTAGACCATCTTCAGCCAACTAGTGACCAACTTAGACCAGCTAGTGACCATTTTAGACCAGCTTCAGCCAACTAGTGACCAACTTAGACCAGCTAGTTACCATCTTGGATTAGGTAATAACCAGCTTGTACTAGTTTATGGCCATTTTGGACTAGTTAATGACTAGTTAATAGTTTGGATCAGCTAATAAATAGCTAGAAGGAACTTCCATGTTCCAAAACAAGTACCAGTTTCAGCCGGATTTCCCAACAGGGAATAACATGTTTATTTTGTTCATATTGTTTATTATATTATATAATTTTTTTTTTTTTTATGTCATATTAATCTTGGGGTTTAATATATCAAGATTTTAATTAATTTGTAAATACAAAAATATGAACAAAAATAAAAAATATGGGTATTTTAATGCAGCTGAGCTAAACAGGGAGCGCGTCCCACTAGACGTTATTAGACTACATGGAGGCGCACTTCCGTCCCACATAATTCGGTTTAGGGGAGCAGGTGCAGGGAAGGGGACTGAAGCGTCACCTCAGATAAAGCAATATATTTGATTTACTGTAGCGTTTAATTTATACCTGGACGTTGGGTCGGAAGATGGTAGCAAAACAAAGAATCCGTATGGCAAACGAGAAGCACAGCAAAAACATCACTCAGAGGGGGAACGTGGCGAAGACCCTGGTAAGACTGGCATTTGTCGTCTCTATGCATGTAAATGAACGACGATCTTGGCTTCTCTGTGTGGATTTCGTTTTTATGTGCGTGATTTGGGGTTATCCTGGCTCATTTCGAGGCCATCGTCAGTTTTTAACGATGCTGTTTTATTCAAACATCATACGAGGCGAGTGTAAGTCTAATTCTTTACGTTACCTAAGTCTTTTCAGTATCAGGGATCATCTTAAATTAGGCTTAATTCGCAAGCAACGTAAACGCGCTATTGTTTTACATAATCTCAATCTGCTCAATAAGCTTTATGAGTCGATAAACACGCTGTAAACCAGATTTAGTTAACGCTGACGCCTATGTTGTTGCCATGGCCACAGTTGTACGAGCTGATGACAGATGCACTTAACTAATCTGACCATTGCTGACCCTCCTTTATAAAGGTGCAGTGTAACCGGGTCACAACATCTGCCACAGGCGTCAATGAAATCATTGGCTGTTTTTGTGTTCAAGGGTTAATGCATGATAAGATCCTGTTAAATTAAAACACTTGCAGTTTGTGTATAGACAACACAGGAAAAAGTCTTCAGGTGTTTGTTTTCTTTTTGTTACTGTGACACTATTTAGACATTTGTGTCATGTGTAAAGAGATTTATCTGCAGAAATTCCAAACCATTTTTTGTTTATGAAATATATTTTGTTTATGAAACACTCTTGACTTTCACTGTTCCAGCGACCGCAGGAGGAGAAATATCCGGTGGGGCCATGGCTTTTGGCACTCTTTGTATTTGTTGTTTGTGGATCAGGTAAAATTTGATATATGTGCTGATTGCTATTAAGCTTCCCGTGTTTTTGTAATAATAAACTGAATATGTTTTTTCTTTCTTGTTTTCAGCCATCTTTCAGATAATTCAAAGTATCCGAATGGGAATGTGAGTCCCAGCGTTCCTCACATACTCTGCCCTACATCTGAATGAGATTTTTGGGTGACTGGATACAATCTGAAGGAAGACTGATAGGTGAAATCCTGTTTGTGGGTCAGAGGCTTGTATGCTCAGCTGGATCTAGTGTACAATACTACATGACATTGTCACACATGTTTACAGTGTCCCTGGATGAAGGGAGCACATGCTTTTCTACAAAGCCATTGTTGCTGTTGACACATCTTATCATGTTCGTCATATTTATTTGTGATTGATGATTGCCATGATCTATTTCTCTATTTAACCGTTTGCGTGAGCCTTTTTCAAATAAACGTCAAACACATTTGGATAATGCCTCATGTCAGTGTTGCTTTTTCAAAACCAGTTCAGATTGTGTGAACCATCATGAATGTTACAGTAGATGTAAAAATGGTGGAACACTAACTGTACAGACAACCCAACTGGAGCCGATACAATCAGAGATCTTTTTGAAATGTATGGCTTATCTGGATCTTAAACCGCAAGTCCGCAACCTTTGCGGAGTCTTGATTCTTGTTTGAACATAAGCGTGTTCTAGCTTGGTAGTCTATAAGTAAACATGAATAGAGTGAAGAAAGCAAAAATATTTTTAATTCAATCAATGTTTAGATTTTTCAAGAATCATAAAGAGAGACTCGTTTAGTTTCCTTTCCATATATAGCCATTATGCATTGTAGAGTTTAAAATTAAATTATGAACAGTACTATCCTAGTGGGCAATTGCTGTTGAAGACAGGTCAAATCTAACTGACATCAAAAACTTGACATGACGTTGATTTGATGTAAATTGAACGTCAAACATATTGGCCTACATATACATTCAACCAATTTCAGTGTGGGATTAACTTCTTATTTTCACCACTGGAAGAAACTGCCATCCAAACTGAACTTAAAATTATGTTACAGCATCTTGATCAAGTCGTGACTGATATTTGACATCGAATTGAAGGTGCCCGCTGGGATGGAGACCAACAAAACTTTTAATAGTAATGCTATGTCAAAACTGGCATTTTATGATCTTATTGTGAACGAGTAATCCATACAATACGTGCATTTTATTTTTAATATACATCTTCATATATCACTTTAATTTATATGTAGTTATATATATATATATATTTTTTTTTTACCTTTAAATTTTTTATCAAAATATAACTTGATCTTTCGGTGAAAACATTTACACTTAAAAAAAAAAAAAAGGGATAATCCGTTACACTCAGATGTATGCCACAATATGTAAAAGATCTGTTGATTCGTCTGTTTTAATCATGTCTTTAAGTAAACGTTTTTTTTTCAGGTAGCTACGGAAACGTCTAAACTAGAAAAACACAGCCATCACAACATGAGAATATGATATAAATACTCACCAGTCTGTAGAATCGTACGATAAACCTTACACCGACTTATCATTTCTACAGTTCATCCAATGAAAACATCTGGCACACGTCACACAAGCATCAAGGGTTTTCACAAACATGACTTTATTGAGAGTTGTGAAGTGCAACTGGCAAGTGCAATTACAGTATTTTACAACTTATCTCCTGGTTTTGAGAACATGCACAGAACATAAGCATACAAGTTGTACACAATGCAAATCCATGTCAGCTATATGATAGTCGAGAGTAAATGTAAGTTAAAAGATCCAGAATACTTCACTGTCCAAACTGAAAACAGAAATCACATGGGTGTAATACTTCAAAATCATCTCAAGTGAACAAAAAAGTAGTGTACAGTAGGTGTTAGATGAGTAGTTTCCATCTGCCAGATAAATATCGTAAGACCGATCCTGCTTAACTGCATTAAAAAGAAGGATGACGTCTCCTGGGTAAGCCAACTACCTCGCTACCCCTTAAATCTGTACAACCTATATAGTGTCTCTTTAGCCGCTTCACATGATATCGCTATTTTACAAAATACTTACACTAATCATACAATAATATACAGCCGGTCCACCTCGCAATTCTGCTCATCCGTCATCCTCACTGCACAGGGAACGAATGAGGATTTGAAGGATCATACCTCCTCGTCGTTTTCTTCATTCCAAAAAAAGTATCATGATTACACCAATGCAACTAAGGAAGTCAATGCGTCTGCCTTCCCCATGCCAGCTGGGGCACAGATCGGCAGCTCTTCAAAGTCTCATCACAATCGTCACCATAAAAGTGCTTGCTTTAGAAGAAGCTTGGAGTCTAAAAAGACCGCCGTCAGCATGTACACTACACAAAGGTAAGGGAGACACGGAAAACAGCCTTGACCGAAAACCAACGGGACTTTAGACACAGGCACATTGATTCTTTATATCGCGTCCTCCAGGATTGTTTTCCTGACGATCACACTCCGTGGATTTTGGCAACGTCCCGCCTCAGCCAACTGGATTGTCACCGGTGTGTAAATCACCTCGACATTGTCAAGTTTTGAAAGGTGTGCAAATTCTGTCAGTCTAACATGTGAGTGAGGCATGTTTGTTCAGAAGCTTCAGTCCGTTTCCAGCCACTCATCGGCCCTTAACAGGAACTGTCGTTCGGAGCTACGCCGACGGGCCAGAGTTCTGTGCTGCGAGTGGGGCCGGCGGGCCCTGCGTGGACGACGGCGGCGGCGAGCCGCTCTGAACCTGTGCCTGGAACTGTGCGAGCTGCTCCGGACTGGCCAGGTTCTTCAGCAGGTTGTTTTCCTGCTCCAGTTGAGAATTTCTCTCAATCAGTTCTTTAATCTGTTCTTTCAACACCTCCACCTCTTCACGGACTGCGTACATCAGGTGACTCTTCACCAGATCCTGAAAGCGGACAACAGAGTGTTATTTTCAAACCTTGCTCCTGTTTATTCAAACCAAAACATCTGTGTATTAGATTCATTTTATTACTTGTATCATACTGCGTAAAAACACAAATCCACTGTGAGATGCTGCGTTCGCGTTTGCAGTAAAAGCTTTAACCTGCATCTGACTCGCTACCCGGCGTCACCAAACCAACAAAATGGCGTCCCTCAGCACGTCAGGCCAATCAGAAGCCGAGATATTTTTAACTATGTGTAAAAGCTTTGGGGTTTGCCTAGCAACAGTAACAAGGCGCACGGATCGCGTGAGTACGCAGGCAAAACCCCAGGCAAGTCAGCAAACACTTCGCTCGTTTTCTTATCAGCTGTTTACTTTAAACTAAACTTAGACTAGCGCGAATGAGCTTGAACGATGAAGTAATTTACAAAGCGGCAAAACATTGACGCTGTCGCAACAATCATTTGATAACGATGACATAATTCCTATCACTGACACTGGTGCAACTCGACCGCCTGCTTACGGCATGTAAACAAAACATCTGTTCGAATATTTCACGTTTATGACGAGAAAAGCAGGATGACTTACCATCGCTTGTTCAATTTTGTTGTCTATAGCCACAACACTGGCACCCGACGAGCTGTGGAGGGGAAAAAAAAGAGAAACGTTAACGTTACTTCACTGCTTTAATACACCAGCAACACACAAGAAACCATGGCGACGCCTACTAAATATCGTCATAAACGCACAAAACGTCGAAAATCGTTGTTTTAAGACAAAGTAATAGTACATACTACCAGGTTTTCTATGGAAATCTCTAGAAGGCGTCAAACGCTGCTGTATTCACTCGGAAAGACACATTTGAGCTCTTCGAAGCTGCCTTCAGCATCATCTTTCAGAGACCCGAAAGAGCAGGCGAGCTGCTTACAGCTTAGGGTTTTAAAACCAGCATTAAAAACGTTCGGCTATAATATAAATGACCCGAATTATCCAAAAACAGCACCGCGTCGTATATTTTCATGTTCAACACTTGTGTTTTGCACTGAACACAGGCTCATGCACGAGCTTTATTGCCAACACAACTCTGACATTTTAACGTTACCTATTGTCGAGCTTGACGGACGAAGTCTCAGTCCCCAACAACGACGAGAGGAAAGATATTGAGAAATTTCTAAGCTGACAAACACCAAGATCCATCGCCACGGAATAGCATGGAGAATTCATGCTATTGCGTCCATAAGAAATCGAGCAGGGGAGCGAACGCGTGTCCTTCCTACAGCCTCTGGAGCATTACATCCTTTGTGTGCGTTTGCAGGAACACTGTGCCGTGACTCCCCAGCAGAAAAGCTCGCTTTATCAGGAGACCGTACATCCACTGCCGCAGCACAAAGAAACTCCAAGGTCAGCTCATCTCCGCGCTGGTGAATATCTGCAGCCTGTGCTATTTGCATAATTTATTTCACACCAGCGCTGCTCGGCGCGCTATTGGCGGAGAACGAGAGGTATTTTGACTAATCTATGCAGCCACGCCCACTTTGACGCTCTTCCGACTCGCTCTGGATAATTTATTCAAACTCGACTTGCCTTATAAGACAATCCGGTTGGAGCGAGTTGACGTTATTTCCATCAAAAGTCTCAAGGCAAAAGCTCTTAACAGCCCAATTCTATTACTCAGCATCTATATTTTACCACAGAATCCAGGTAGAAATAACCACCGCTTCTTCATGATGTTATGTTATTGCATAACCTTTTGGGGAATTTTTTTTTTTTTTAATACTAATTTCACCAAAAATGTTTTCCAGTCTGTTTTGTTTTATTATATACACTTTCTTCATGATGTTATGTTATTGCATAACCTTTTGGGGAAATTTTTTTTTTTTTAATACTAATTTCACCAAAAATGTTTTCCAGTCTGTTTTGTTTTATTATATACACGGTCAAAACATTATTTTACGGGGAATGCCTTTGAGCACAGTGTTTACATGTCGCCACTTATCGGCAAACAGCGGAACTGCAGCGGAGTGAATCCCTAAAACAGGAGTGTTTCAACATTTAAAGATGCAAGGAGTCCCAACAGGACCATCAGACCATCAAAATAATTCAGTATAATCCAGATAAAATTAATTAATTTTTTAAAATCTTATATTTAAATCCTAACCTTTTTTAACTATCAATTTAACAGATTATTAATGCACCCCATTTAGCAATACATTTAGAAATATACAAATTATTTGTACACTTTTGTTTTCTGTGTTCTCCAGGGTTATGTGGACCCGTGGCTCAAAGCTCAGATCCTAAAGCAGAAAGCATCTCCCAGCATGTTTAGATGAAACTCAGTTCCCTATGATTTAGGTACAGCTAACTAAGTCCTGGTCCAGGAACAGGTTTGCTGGACAATGTGTACTCACATAATGAACATGAAGAACAAGTTCTAACTGATAAAGAAGCTTCTGTCCAGAAGCCTGGTGCAAAGGTCAACAGAACAAATCATCCATCTACCATTTACACCAGTTTCACTGTAGCTCAAGCAGCAGAGCATGGCACTAGAAACATCATGGGCTCGATTCCCAGGGAATGCATGAACTGATTAAACAATATACATTGAATGCAATGAACTGAAAACACTTTCTGTAAATCAAAGTATACTTTGATTTCTCTTCTCTAAACAATGTACAAAGTGAAAAACGACTGAACATGATTTCCTCATTAAAATGACCAGATTAATCTGACACACATATGATGCTCAGAGGAACAAAGACCTCCAACAAATAGAGCCATACCTTTCATTCATGATGTCAAATGCATTTGCATGCATTTTTAATCTTTCTACATTTAAAATATCTTCCAAATAAGAATCTGAAAGCATGTGAATAGAAAATGTTGTATGCGGATGTAAGACCAGGCAGTGTAAAACACACTTTACCTTTTCAAATGCTGCTCTAACTCCCAGAACAATAGCTTCATGGCCATTTCGTCTCGGCCGTGAACTCGGAGGACTGTTTCTCTCATTGATGTGTCAATCAGCGGTCCTTCAAACACCGAACTTGCTCCTCTATTCCTCACTCCAGGCTCAAACACACACACACACGAGCACATGCACAAAGAGGTATGGCCACTGTTTGGCTCCCTTTATCCTCTCCAGCAGTAGTAAAAGGCTAAACAATCACAAGGCCTGGTAAAAGCTCAGTGGTCCTGTCCCCGTTTGTCTCCACTGTACTGCCTTTGTGCATCTTACAGGGAGATTGGTGAACGATTGAGTGAAAACAAGAGTAGGGCAAGCTGTGATGTCACGTCATTGATGGGTCACGTGACTGTTACATAAACCAGCAACGGAGATTAAAATATTCCCAATGATCACTTCTCGCACGCACCCATGCTCTTGTGGAGCCTGCCGTCCTCACATCCCTTTACGGCTATCCTGTCCCGATGTTGTTTTTTTCTTCTTCTTCTTTTCTTTTCCCGGCACAGAAGCGTGCATTTCTCCCCTGTGGAGAGAAGAGACGGGCCCCTGCACTTGAGCCGGGACTTATCTTGTCACTTCTCATCAGTATCGTAGCCTGATTCAGGCTTACAGCGTGTGCGGCTGGCGAAACAAGCACACACGTCTCTCCAGCTTAGGCTGCTCGCAGTAAAAAAACAATACGGATCCCAACAATGGCAGGGATTTTACCTGTTCAAATAACACTCAGTGAGAGTTCTGAATGGCTACAGACAGCTGATCAGAATGAATACAGCCAAACAACTTCAACTTGACTGACTGAAGCTCACAGACATTCAAATCAAGCTTTCATAATATTTCAGAATCTTATAGCTATCATACTGGAAAGATGACTTACTTTCTGGTTTTAAATCACTGCATTACACTCTCTACAATAGGGCTGTGGCTATCATTACACAATCAGCTGATCACAATAGGAGGCAATATATTCACAATCACTGCTCTTTAAATTTCAGTCACATTATGTAAATTTTAAATAATACATTTTGGGTAACACTTTAAAATAGGGAACACATTCACTACCTAAGAGTTTTCTACTCAAACTCCTAATTTGCTGCTTATTAACAGTTAATGAGGTAGTTAAGTTTAGGTATGGAGTAGGAGTAAGGGATCTAAAATATGGTCATGCAGAATAAGGCATTAATATGTGCTTTATAAGTACTAATAAACCGCCAATATGCTAGTAATATGCATGCTAATAAGCAGCTAGTTATTAGTGAGAATTGGTGCTTAAAATAAAGTTACCAAATTTTGTAAATCCGCACTTATTTTCCACAGAACAAAATAAATCTTCAATGATTTTTCGAAACTGTAAATAAAACAGATTATTGGAGCATGTTTTACAAAAAAAATAAAAAATCCATTGCAGCTTTTCTACTTAAAAATATCATGTTTAATTCAATGCATTACTTGCTGTTTCTTTGTAATTGTCTGATATTTACTAGCAATTTCTGAGTGAAAACAGTTTCTACAGCAATATTTTTTTCTATTGCTCCTGCCTCTGGTTCTGGCGCAGTAGTGCGTTATGAGAGCACTCCATATGACCTTCAAGTAGGCGTGTTTTAAATAATAAATATACAACAATATTAATAATAATAAGATAATAATTAATAATAAACTTAATCTTAGTATCATTATTAAGAACAATAATTATTTTTATAGAACAAACATTAAAAAGGATTATCTAATTAATATTCAGGCCAGTGTACCCTGGTTAACATTTGTTTACAAAGCCTTAAAGGAAATCATACATATTGTGCATTTAACTTCAGTGTAAATAAACTGTGTATGTGTGAAAGCTGTATGTGTACTAAGTTTGCACTGCAAGTGACTATATGAGTGACCATTAATCGCCAGCAAGTTTCATAATCATGACAGCCCTAGTCTGAGAACTGGGCAGCCTCGATATTTACATGTAAAATAGGCGAACATGATTTGAATAAGTGCTTGGAGAGTTTCGTAGAGAGTTGGGCTGAAATGGAGACTGTTTAAACAGCTGTGCTGGAGCGGATGAGGACGGCTGCTTACAGAAGCCCTGCCGTCAGCAGCTCCCGAGATTCACGAGTCACAAAATTTATAGAAAGGTTATACGTTTCAAATAGTGCATTAAGTGCAACCGGCCACCCTCAGTGTCTGTAACTTATCTGAGTGTGCAGGTGCCATTCTCCACAGTCTTCAACATGAACCTAATTTATGATTTTGCCAGATTTACGACACAATGCCTGGAGTTGTCCACCAACTTAACACATATTAGGACTCTGAATGTGTATCCTGCTATACAAGTTGGCATTTAATAAGAATTACAAATTGACAAAAAAAATAATCATCATGCAAGAATATTGAAATTTGCATGACAGCGAGCTCGTCGAGAGGCACATCCCATGAACCTGTGGTACAGCTGGAAGATCCGTGAGATCACATTGGGATTTCGACAGCAACAAATGAAGGCCACGTTGCCACTCTGTGAGAGAAAGTGCCATTTTGCCAATTGGGCTGACAGCAGCAGGTTGCACAACAGAGCTTCATCCTGTATTCTCCAGCTCAAACTCTGACAGTGCAGCACACACAGAATAGACTGGACAACCTCAGCAAGTTTCACTCCATGAGCAAGAAAAGAAGCATGTGAGAACAGCCTCAGTGTG